ATGGTATTTTATATGACATTTTGTATACTTAGTGATAGAGCATTTACATAATTATTTTTATCAAAAGTATAATCCATCATTGTTTTTAAATTAAATTATTTAGATTACTTATAATAGGTTATAATATATTTTTTGTGACTTGGTGAGGTGCAGTCGTACGCTAAATCTGCGGAAACGCACTGAGCATACCGGCCGCAGGTGCTAGCTCCCGGATGGGTAACCACCCGGGATTTTTAGCAACATATCCTTGCCACACATACACAAACATGTGTTACAACACTCAAAAACCTACAAACAAAAATATACAAAAATAACCCTCACCGTACCACCCTACACCTAGTGGCCTATGTTGCAGTGGGCTCCCCCCTCAATATATATATATATTATATATATATAAATATGTATGGTATATTACTAGGTTATATTATTCTGTTTACCTACTTATTAAACAGTCATTTTAGATGTATCAAATTGATGGCATATATAATATCTAGGGTTATACCTAAGGTGACCATAATTTTTTTTCTTCAAAGCGGGATACCTGTGCATGTTAATAAGAAAACCAGGGGKCTTTCATTTGGGCGAATGACCCAAAATAACATATCGTTTGTGCGAATTTATACATATCATTTTGGGCGAAATTTACAATGACCCCTAATTTATCTAATACATCGTTTGGAGCGAGCTATAAATATATATTTATAAACATTTATATAGGCTAATAGGTTTTCCATATATTATGTTATTGCCGTCAAAGTTAAAAATGGTTAGTGTAAGTACTGACGATGTAGTAAATATATTATAAATGTTAAAGGGTAGGTACAATTGTCTTGTTCTGCAACGCATATATTATACATATTATACATAGGATAAAAACCAATCATAAAAATAAAAACTGATGGTGCCAAATAAAAACTGATTCAGACCTCAGTCCCCAACGAAGTTACTGATGTAAGATGTCTTACTATCTAAGAAAAATTGTTGTCAAGTATTTTTCCAGAAAAAAAAATTCACCATTGTTGATTAGATACATTTCTTGCTACACTAAGTTGCTCAGAATCATAAATTAGAGCTATTTTAAAAGTGACAAAAAATCTTGAACGCTCCGCTGTTATCCTGTACCTACCACAACTATGATTATTTTGAAGATCAAACAACATATATGACTAAAAACAAAGACTCGTTCTTTTGAAACCAACTAACTGAACCAACGACTACACAATGAGTTCTATGAACTATAATAGGTATTACCATGAGTTTTTCTTCAACGGCTGTCGACTCATCCTGCCGAAATTCTGGCGCGGAAGATACGTTGTACGGCGAGCCGTTCGAGTTCTGCATCTGCACCGTGGACGGCGACATGACTATTATACTGTTACAGGCACCGACGCGATCGGTTGTACATTATTATCGAATGCACGGAACAGGCCGTAAATGTCACATAATATTTATCTAATTGTATTATAATATTATATTACAATAACGGCGGCRAGGCACGGATCAAGTCGCGCCCGGAGGACGTGGCGATGGATCGCGGAAAAACTGGCGACGACCCCTTCATGGCGGTGTCATGAATCCTCGTGATGTAATTTATATTAAAATTATAATATACATTATTAAAATAATAACGGCGACATCATCGGAACGATATTTTCTATTAATAGTTATATGATGGTTGCGCGCGCAGACTGCGATTTTGTAGTGTATATGATGTGACGGCGTCGGCGTCCAAACTACAGGCGTATAATGTGCGCGAAAAGTCGCTACGGTTTTTCGCCTCGCGCCGTATGGTAGCCACTGGCAACTATGCGATACATACAAAACGCGTTCACCTATATAAATATAATATGCATTATTATTGTCATTATTATAAGGCGTAATATACGTCTTGCGATATTGCGACGTACATTATTGCTGGGAATAGGGCGTGTAAAAACGGACCCACAAACTACGTGCCATGCATGACCATGAAACCCATCCCTCCGAATTGGTCCGATCAACTATGCCAATTTTTCGCAAAATAATTGCGAGTATATAATTGCAAATTTCAATTTTCAAAATAACGGCATATTACTTTAAATCGATAGGACAGATTCATGATGGAGCAGCTTRAAGTTATCTCTCCCTCCGTAATGATTTTTATYTTTTATTGTATTTTAATGACTTATTTACAAAATCTAAAAATCAATAACCAATTATTTACAGTTATTTTACAAAACATTGGTGTATTTTTTTAATCGATCAGATAAAGTCGGTGGGCCAACTTCGTGGATATGAATCATACAGATCGGACAATAGGTACTCTCACTACACATGCATTACTTAAATAATTACTCTAGAATTATAACAACTAACAATAAATTATTATTATAGAATTTAATACTATATGCATCAAAAATATTTAATATATAATAGTAGATATAAGCACATGATGTACATAGGCAATATGATATAATAATACATCTATTATTCATTTATAATATGACATTATAAAATAATGAACTAATCGTTTTTAATTATTACCAATTCAAAATATACAACT